ACTTGTTGAAATAACTCGTGCTGAGAATTCTATATTGTACCAGATTATAATATTGAATAAAGCCATTAATAATAATAATAATAATAATAAATTACTGTTACTTTGTAAGCAAAGATGGAGAGTAGCTTGTAGTGGAATCCAGAACGCGCGTTTCATCCTATTCGAGACTCTTCAGCTGGATGTACCTGCACTCCATTGCATAAGCAAGTGGCTATCAGGACTCAGTAGCTAAATGGATAACAAGATGGCGTTTGAAGCGAAAGGTACTAGGTCCGAGTCACAGAGTGAACATCAACTCTGAGATGTTGGTACATCCAGCTGACGATTACCAGAGAGGACGAAACGCGCGTCATCGATTCCACTGCTAGCCACTATCAATCATTGCTTATAAAGCTTGTGACCTAAGGCACTATCAAAGCAGTCCACACAGGATGCACATATGCCAACAAGAGACTGATGAATCGCAGTTTTAAATAACAATAGGAAAATACAAGTAAATAACATCAAGTGAATTTATTTTAATTTTATTCTACTGAAAATTTATAGCTTACAACCATATCAGGTTGAAGTATACTATTAAGAAAAGTATTTCAGCAGCTAAAACAAAACTCAGTTTTGTCCTTGCTAGGAAAAGAAAATTAAAATTTTAGTTTACATAGTGGATTAACATTGCCTAGACAACCATTAAAAATAAGCAAGCACTAAACAACCTTTATATCCAATATGGTAAACATTAGCAGCAGTTTATGTGATCTATTAGTTAATCACTCTTCTCGAGGCCTGAATACGTTGCTTTCCATTAATAGTAGAGTGATAGACGCCCATTACTGAAGAGTCACATTTTGGGATGAAACAGGTTAACTCATGATGCAACCTATAGAACTCAACAATCTTCACAATCAACTAAGATTATTCAGGTTTTGTAAATGACTTGTCGTTTATAGGAACAAATTTATCATTCATATGATCAATATCAATACGAAACCATTGGAAGAAAATGTAAGAGTTTCGAAAATTTGTACCCAGTTTATGGTCAAATAACATATATTGAATTATATGAGTATAGATCAGAAGGGATTTTGTGGAGAATTTAGTATTTTCATAGTTGAAATCATGAGTCAATTGAAGTTGGACCACCATGGAAAACCTGGAAGCACTGGACGGCCGTTTCGTTCTATTATGGGACTCCTCAGTAGTGCACATCCACCATCCCGCACTTGCAAGATTCGAACCCAAGACCTACCAGTCTCGCACAAGAGCACTTAATCGATAGACCACTGAGCCGGTATCTAACGGTGTTAATGTCTAACTTCAACCAATCCACGAATTTGAGCAACGTTCACCAATTGTCTTCAGAGATTTGATATCTCTACAACAGACTTGGTAGAACTCCACTGGTCACTGCTTCCCACTAGAACTCAAGGAAATATCTCTTGAAGTCAGTCATTAGTGAGCATATGATTATAGGCCAGCGGGGGTTTCGTGGATAATTTAATATTTTCATAGTTGAAATCATGAGTCAATCATGAGTTGGATGCCAGCTCAATGGTCTATCGGTTAAATGCTCTAGTGCGAGACTGGTAGGTCCTGGGTTCGAATCTTGCGAGTGCGGGATCGTGGATTCGCACTACTGAGGAGTCCCATATTAGGACGAAACGGCCGTCCAGTGCTTCAAGGTTTTCCATGGTGGCCCAACTTCAATTGACTCATGATTTCAATTATATGAGTATGTTAGATGCATAACAGACAACATGAAATAATTAAATAATTATGATTAGAAGTAAACAAATAATGCTAATCATACTGGTGACGAATAAGAAATTTTCAATCTATTCATCTTGTTATGTTGACTATGTAAATGGGAAATAAGAGTGAATAGTTAATGCTCTTTATTTTGTAAGTGTAATTAATTTTTAGTTAGCCTTATGATCTGATTCCCAATTTGGACGTATGAATGGTTGATTGTCAAAATATTCATATCGTCTGTCCTCGTATGTAATACATGACTTAATCCGCGTTGGTGAATAATGGAGTTAAATAAGTCAAATACGAGAATGGATTTTATATATATATATATATATATATATATATATATATATATATATATATATATATATATATACAGGAAATCAGAAGTATGGAACGAATAGAAGAAATCGAAACGAAAATGACACACATTGGAGATGGCAGGTACGTCAACTTGCTTTAATAAAGCGTTAATCAATATTTATAGCCAGATAAAAATAAATTACAGGCATGTGATGAAGAAGATAAAAAGTGTACACACACACGCTCATATAAAAATAGGCAGCGTTGATAAGTGAATAACTGACAAGGTGTAAATGTGTCTCATGATGGGTAGGTAAATTGGCTTGTCCTGAAGCTATAATAAGGTATATGGGCTTAACATATCAACCGACAACACAATTTTTTGAGAAGATAATTCTTAATGTAGAGACATCCTTCTTATACCACATTGTCGACATATTCATCATATTTAATGATAAAGTATTTTAAGTGAATCAGTGACACTGTTATGGGATTGCCACTTGATCCAGCAAATGATCATATGATCAATCTAAAAAACACTATGGTCTTTAACAACAATTAATAGATTTGATTTATGTAATAAATAAATGTATGAAATCATCGTCTAAGACATAAATAGTGAACAGTACACTAGATTAGTTCAAACATCGCATTTCTGTAATACATTAGTGTATATTTTGAGATGGTGGAAACATTTGTAGCTCAGGTTGATGATTTTTGGAGCAGTTTCATTCTCTGAGCAGAGAGAACGTAACTCCATCATAAATGAGGGTATATTTATCAGTCGAGAAATAAATGATGTCTTATCAGCCTCAAGAATAAGTTCTCCAAGAGAATCGCAGAATATTATCTTGTTTGACTAACAAAAGATAAATGGCAATTAATCAACATCTTGACTTTTAAATATACATTGTCAACTCTGACATCCTTAAAAATTACCACTAATGTTAGCGAAGAAGAGGTTGATGAGAATATAGATGAGGAACTAGCATGATGTAAATTTCTAGTTATTGATCACTATAGCATTGAATTCTGTGTTTTAGTGAATAAATATCCATATTTTCAAATTGTTATACTTTTTATCCCCCTAACTAACTCTCTACACCTTTTAGGTTGCCATTACCACATGTTCATTTCTTCAATTCTCTCTAAGTGGAAAATGAAGTTAAACACTTGAGATATTCACCATAGTGTTTTTTACTACCTTACGTTTAGTAAATACTTGAAATTTTCATTCAATGTTTTTTTGACTGGAGAGTCATTTATTATAGAATATTATATAAATACCAATATGCAACTCCTATTATTCTACCTAAAACTAATTATTATACATTGCTCCAAACATCTTAAGTAATTGACTATAAGGATAGACCACATTCAATCTACACAAGACTTAATCATGTACGAAAAATTAGGTTCACTAGTAGTATATTCATAATGTATGTTTACATAGTTCTATATATATATTTTTTAACCAAGATTACACTTCTATTATTCAAAATGTTGAAAGAGACATGTTGCTAACATGTCATATATATATAAAACACCGTGATCTTGGATGCATATTATTTTATTAATGAAGTAAATATTTGTACAACTTCTTAATTTACACAAACTATACTACTCATTTTTAACTATATGATTCAGTGTTTTAAATGGTTATTGTTAATATAAAGTGAAAATTTTACTCATTTATATACTGATGTATATAATAGAGAATATGTGTTAAGTTAATTTTTTGCCTTGAAAGATAAACGCAGTAGATGGAATATCGTTTAGTATTTATTACCATATTGTTCAAGAAGTATTTCCTGGAGTTCTAGTGAGAAGCAGTGGTCAGTGAAGTTCAACCGGGTCTGTTGTGAGATAGTAACTTACCGAAGACAATGGTGGATGGGTGTTCAATTTCGTGGATTAGTTTAAGTTAGACATTAACACCGTTTGATACCGGTTCAGTGGTTTAGTGTTTAAGCAGTCGCGCACGAGACCGATAGGTCCTGAGTTCAAATCTCGAGAAGCGGGATGGTGGATGCGCTCTACTGACGAGTCCTACAATAAGACGAAACGCTTGTCCAGTGCTCCCAAGTTTTCTATGATGGTCTAGCCTCATATGACTCATGAATTCAACTATAAATTTACAAAAATCTTCACAAAACCCCTTCTGATTATTTTTAATACTTAATATAAATAGAAAATGATATGCATGAAAGACACAGTGTCAATATAATGGTTAATAAAGCAACAAGTCATCTGAAAATGAACTCTTTCTGTCTCTCTCTCACACGGCCACAAACTTTTATTCAAAAGAAAACACCGATGGTTTTAATGTTGTAAACAAGTAAAACTGACCAATGTCCACTTATCTTTATTATTATTATTATTATTACTTAAAGATAAATAAAATAAATTTTAAAACTTTACTATAATAACCAAATTGTTCAGCTTATTAGTATTTTTTTGGCAATTCCCTAGTGAATAATAAATCAAATATATAAACAGATACTTTGTTACCCTCAGTTTATCATAGAAACTTTTTTTCTAATGTTGATTTTGATTGAATGTGAACAGAGAGAAAAAAAATTTAAGTTTGGTGTATCCATTGAAGCTGATCATTGTAAACTATATGATATTTAAAATTAAATTATAAAAAAAAGAATCAATCCACAGAAATTCCTTATCATAAAAATTATAAAAACAATTAGGTAAACAAATGAATTTGATTTTACTTTCATAATGATTATTCAAATGAGGTGGTGTTGTTTGTTTGTTTGTTTGCTTGTTTGTTTGTTTACAATTCGATGTAGTTTATGTGATGTGTCTATTTGATGTTAACAAAAAGTTGTTTTTTTTTAATTTTTTTATTTTACATTGTTTACTGGGTAACAATTTTCTTTTTCTCTTTGAAATTCCATATCTCATTCATTATTTAGATTTATTTGTCATAAGGTAAAGTTGAATCTATTTTTGATTTTGGGTCAGGTCAAGCAAACTAGATTCTGGCATGTTTAAATACTTGTCTAAGTAATCATAATTTGAATAGTAATATGGAACTATGTTCAAGAAGATGAAACTGCTTTCTTTTTCTTTTTTTTTCTGTAATTAATAACAATAGTCTAATAGGTGTTTAACATTACTGAGATACTAATCAAAATTGATAAACAGTTACTTCATTCATCCTTTAAGTTGACTATTTTAGAGGCCGGAAAAATGACATAAATCACAGGATAATAACCTACTTTGTATAAATTAAATAATACGAAATACTTTTGAGTCAGAATGTAAATAATTTCATACATAACCAATTTTTGTCAGTATGGGGATTTATGGAGATTGTAGTATTTTTACAGTTCAATTCTTGAGTTGATTTAAGCTAGACTACCACTAAAAATCTGGAAGCATTAGACGATCGTTTTGTCCTAGTATGAGACTCTTCAGAAGTGTTCTTTAAGATGGGTTTCCTGGAGTTCTAATGGGAATCTCTGACTAATGGAGTCCAATCCGTGTCGGATGTGAAAATGTTATCTACTTCAGACAATGAATGAAGGCTTGTGCAAGATTATGGATCGATTGAAGTTAGACATTAACACCGTTGGATGTTGGCTCAAAGGTCTAAAGGTTAAGCGTTTGCACGCGAGACCGAAGGTCAAGTCGAGCCTGTAGGGTTATGGTTGTGTACTGTTAAGGAGTTCCATACTACAAATAAACCGCCGTCTAGCGCTTCCAGGTTTTCGATGGTGGTCTAGCATAAATCGACTCGTGAGTTCAACTATTATTATTATTTGGTCTTTAATTTTTGGCATATCTACTTTAGTGGATTACAGTGATAACAAATTCATAACATATAGATAACTAACAAACATAAGAAAGCATCGAATGAGTATTTCATTGCCAGTGTTTAACGCTATATGAGATGAAAGGCTAAACATCTAGAGCTTACAGAAAGTATATTTTCAAAATATTTCTTGTTAATGCAATGGTTCTATGTCAATTATTACTAACTGAGCCTGGGACTTTAGTCGCTAACATTTTATTGTTTATTAAGAGAGTATCAGTAACGTAATCCTCATTGTGTTAATAATTTTATTTCGTACAAATATCAATAAAAAGATCGTGGATCTAGCTTTCTATAAAACAGAATTCATGGGACACTATATTCTTCATTTGAAATTTAGAAATATGTTTGAAATCAAAATTTGTAACATCAATAATAATGTGAAATGACTAAGATAAAATTCAGTTATCATCTCAGTTAATATCGTTTACACTCGTTTAGCATTTTTGTTCCTTGGTACGATCATTATATCATTGCCTTTATTTTGATGCAGTTATTTATTCTCTAATAATTTCTATCAAATAGATCGTTGATTAGTTGGACTGAACCATCCTACTATTTATCTCGCTGAATACCACTACATAACATTTTATGATATTTAATGACTTAGTATCCAGGTTATTGGATGTATTACCAATGTTCTTTTAATACATGTCAACCTAGGAATCTCTTCAAAGATATATATACCTTGACTTTGATCTTCAATTGAAATGTAACAAATATATGCACAAAACAAATCACTCGGGTACACTAGAATTTACATCGTAAATGCAAACAAGTGAACATCTTGATATGCAGCTCGGTACAGAGTGAAGTGAACCATGTTATCTTGCCTATACCGAGTAATTTGACGCTAGACGGTATTTTGCATGAAAAACATCAATAATTTGTACTATCAAAATAATCAATCCAAACCAGATCATTAAATGCTGAGAAATGTTCTAACCAAAATAGCCAAATGTAAGGCAACTAGTAAGATGATGTAATAACTTAAAAGTAAAAGCATCCTAGTTACACTGTCGAGATGTTATGATTACGGCTATAATAGTCATTTCAGTTATATGGAACACCTGGTAGCGAAAATTAGAAAACACTGATCATGCGAACTTACCATTTTGCAGAAACCTTGACTGTCTAACAGTAAATTTTCCGGTTTTAAATCACGATAAACAATTCCTCTTCTATGCAAATAATTTAATGCTTCAACTACACATGCTGAATAAAATCTTGCTGTCGAATCATCAAAAGCTGTAGAATTACGTAACAGTGTCCACAGTTCACCACCTAGACAAACTTCTAATAAAATGTACAAATAACGTTGATCTTTATAAGTTCGGTATAATCTGAAAAATAACAAAAAAAATTTATTGAAGTTATAAAATACTTAAGTTATTATCAAAATATTGTGATATACGAATTTATATCAACATTCTATGCTTCAGCTATATGATGAGTTATAAAACTCAGATAAAGCATGTACACCAAATGCTTTCAGTTATCGTCAGCACAAAGAATGGATCGCTACCAAAATCCTTGTCAAAATTCAAGGAAGGAAGATTAAGAAGACAGCAAGTAACAACAGTCGAACAAGAACAGAAAATGTCAAGGCAAAAGCTGAATATACAGTAGCAAACAAGCAAATGAGAAACATCATTAGAAATGACGAGCAGAAATACGTGGGAGAACTAGAAACAACAGCGGAAAATGCTGCAACAGAAAGAAATATGAAGCATTTACATGACACAAAGAAAAAACTAGCAGGCAAATATAATAAACCAGAGAGACCAGTCAAACACACGGAGATTCGCTGAGATTCTAGAACAGAGGAACAGATGGGGAACTCTTGAATAGGTCACCACCATTGAATCCACTGGATATCGAAGCAACACACACAGATATTCCTATAAATGTCACCCCACCGACGATCGAAGAAATCAGGGTGGCCGGCCATCAAACAATTCAAGAATGAGAAAGCAGTAGGACCTGACAATATACCAGCTGAAGCACTCAAGTCAGACATAGAAGAAACTGCAAATATGTTCCACGTTTTATTCAGGAAGATTTGGAAGGAAGATCAAGTGTCACAGACAGACTGGAAATAGGGACACTTCATCAAGATACCGAAGAAAGGAGATCTGTGCAAATGTGAAAAGTATACAGACATCACACTACTATCAGTACCAGGAAAGGTTTTCAACAGAATGTTGCTGAACCGGATGAAAGATTCAGTAGACGTCCAGATTCGAAATCAACAGGCTGAATTCCATAGGCATTGGTCGTGCACAGATCGAATTGCGACACTGCGGATCATCGTTCAACAATCAGTTGAATAGATCTTGTCGCTATATATCGATGTCCTTGACCATGAGAATGCATTTGACAGTGTGGATGGGAGAGTCTTATGTAACCTTCTTCGACACCATACTGTGTTTATTAGAGAAGATTGTCAACATCATCCGGAATTCATAAGACGAAATACGCTACAAAGTGGTGTATGGAGGACAGCTGACAAACGCATTTCAAGTGATGACCGGAGTCAGACAAGGTTGTCCACTCTCCTCTTTCTTCTGGTGGTTGACTGGATTATGAAGACCTCCAAATCAGACGGGAAGCACATAATACTATATATATATATATATATATATATATATATATATATGCTTTCCAAACGAAAAGTTATCACAATGCCTAATATAATTTGACAGGAGCTAAACTTCAAGTTATTGTAGTCACTTGTTAGCTTTATAATTTTTTATTCGGTTCATTCTTTTTTGTAACTTATTCTTCAGATTTAAGTGACAGATAATTAAGTTGTCTTCGCGAAGATACTAATTTATTTTATTAACTTATCTATGAGTACAAACCATTTCGAAAATACAAAAACCACAAACATAATTAATCCATATAATTGTATTGAATTATGACAGTACTTTAATTATTAATAAAAACACACGTCTAAATCATGACAAAATATTGTATACTTTATGCCAAACAACCATATTATAGCTGGCTTCATGAGTAAATGCATGCTAGACCACTATCCAAAACCTATTAGCACTAGACGGTGGTTTCTTTATAGTATGGAACTCAGCAGTTCACATCGACGACCCTGCAAGCTCGACTCCAACCCAGAACCTTCGATCTCGCGTGTAAACACTTAACCATTAGACCTTTGAGCCAGAATTCAACAGTGTTAATATCTAACTCCAATCTATCCATGATCTTTTTTAGGAGTCTCATACTAAGACAAAACGTCCGTCTAGTGCTTTCTAGGTCTTCGATAGTTATCTAGTTTATATTGACTAATGGATTTATTAATTAAAATCACCACAAACGTCCATACTAATACTTACATTATAATTAGCGTCTTTCATGTGTGACAAATATTGAAGTGGATCTTAAAAATGAGTGCTCACTCGATATTCATTGTATACTAAAGGTTGTCAATCATATTGATAAGTCTTTTCATAGACACTTTTCAGACTTACTTTTATTTCGCTAAATTTTAGCTATTTCCTGAAATCATCAGATTCATTTCTAAAAATAGTAATCATAAATATTTGTTATGCCACCTATAATGGCAAAGCTACGCTTACATTATGAGATGATATTTAAGAAAACTGACTTAATTTTATGATTTATGAAAAAGCTATATCTACACAATTATTACTTACATATGGGTATTAATGAAAATAAATGACTAGGCTAACATGAAACTTGGTTTTAATGCTTATTTATCATATAACTTAATAATAATACTTCATATCCTATTAATCGAAGAATTTACGAAAACTTTACTCATACTCTAAACTTAGTAGGATTTATGACTTTGAAGAAACTTGTTGTTCGTTGACAGATAACTTCTTAACTTTCCAAGCATAGTTATATTTTGAACTTAGCTTACATGTATCTCAGGATAAATTACAGATGTAGAATGATTTCAACGTGTTTTACACTGTAACAGTTGCAACATGTTTATTTGAGAGATAGTCTTTAACCATACAATTCAATTCTGACCACAGTTCCCCTTTGCTTAGGAGTTTATATCAATGCATTTAACTGGTTTGTCTTGCTTTCTATCTTCCATATATATATATATATATATGTATATGATGGCAGTAATCTAATACTCAAATAAACTAGATCAACGCCAATCTTGTGTAGTTCTTGCCTCAAAATACTATAGTATAATTTTATATCTTTCCGCTCATATTTATAGGATTAATAGATATGGAAAGTGCATTCAGTCACAAACCATATTAGAGGTGTACATCTATAAAGAGTCATGAAACTCAACATATGTAAAGGAATATACATGTAACAGCTATCATTTTATTTTGGATCGTAAAATTTATCTTCATATTAGTTAGCTATTTTATTCGTGTTTACTGCTCATGAGTCATAGAAGCTTCATTCCCAAGTATCAGTAATTGTAAATATAATAACAAATGACTTCAGTAGTGAACGATATCTAATAATTCCTTGCCATGATCACATAGCTAACTTTTGATTTGGATCGTCATTCACAAAGTAGACACTTTCAGTAACTTTTTAATTATTATGTGGATTTAAGTAGTACATAAATGTTTACATGCATATTTGAAAATAAACCAATATTGAATTTAATTTTAAGTTTTCCTATTTCTGTATATTACCGAAAATGTTGAACGAAATTGTAGTGAAATTTAATGCGAACACAAATCTATAGTGATAACATATCATTTAAAAAATGTGAGATTTTTCAAATGGGCCCAAGTAAATTTTGATTAAAAGGAAAACACAAAAGTCAGGTAATTCTAGATACAATAAATATTCATACCAAACATCAAGAATACAATGATGTGTACATTTTGAAAGTACAGTAAACTAGAGAGGCATTAACACCGTTTGTCTATCGGTTAAGGGCTCTGGCTTGAGAATGGTGGGTCCTGGGTTTGAATCTAGCGAGTGCGGGATCGTGAAAGGTTTGTTAATCAGCTATTCTGTATATCAGAAGAAGGTTTATGGATATTATAGTAATTTTGATTTTGTTTATTAATTGTAAAAATATCATTATCTTGTTTTTGATTCTATTATGCCTTCATATAGTCTACAATTACCGGTAAAAACTTAATGTCAAATAACCAGAACAAATGTAACCATTGTTCATTGAATGTACATATATATTGTTTTCAACGGAATTTCAGGTACAAGTTAAGTCAGTAAAACCATCAATATTCTAAAAAAAACAACTGGAAAGTTGATTGTGACAGATAATCACTATTAGAACTTAATGTAATTAATCTCATGAGTAAAATTAAAAAGAATTTATGGTTTAAAGATTATTCAACAAGAATCAACCTATTTCGACTTACAAAAATAGCATCATACTTCATCGCATTCTATAAATGTTGGTAATCGAAGAATACATCATTCAATAAATATAACTAGTAAATCTGAAAATCCTCTTAGTTTTAGACATTGTACATCATTTTCACGTTTCAAATCTTAGACTGTCAATGAAAACTTGGAAGCACTAGGTGACCATTTAGTTTTAATATTGAATGCTCAGTAGCGAGCATCCACGACTCCACACTCAGGAATCAAACTCCTGCTTGCTAACACTATCTATCAATGTTATAAATGCTATAAAAGCTTAAGTGTTAACCCATGCTTGGGAAGTATTAGGTATAATTTGAATTTGTTTTTTTAAAGCATATTACTCATATGCTAATAATATCAATTAGCCATTCAAGACCATTATGAATAGCAATAATATGTTGTTTATAACAAAGCTGGTTCACATTATTTAATAAGCATGAATAATACTTTATAACATGGGTGTGCAACAGAGATACTAACCCAGTATAGTAAGAAAGGTTACATTCAGTGAAACCATACAACAGAATAAGGATTGAGAAATGTCAACTAGGTATTGAGTCAATTTTTGTGATAGAACTGTACAATAGATCCTAGTTATTATAAAATGCCTGAAACGGAGTGTATTGGACAAACTGTGACCCTGACGAAAGCATATATGGTCGAAATGGGGTAAAAGTTCAACCATTGAGTGTTACAAACGTGGTAATTATTTTAGTGTAGGTAGTGCCTCAGGCTCTATCCAAGTGAGTTGGGATTACAAGACATCTTATAGAAGTGAGTACAAGATAACGGATAGTTTCTACAGCATATTGTATCGTTTAAGTGACGACTTGTTAAGGTATCTGTCAACTTTAAATAATTCTGTGAAGGAAATATTCACTGTTTAAGAAATATCAAGTAACATCATTGAACTATAATAAAAACGTTTCTGCTGCAGAAAATACAACTTTGATTTCCTCCATTTGTACAACAGAGGATATAAATATAAGTGATATCTAAAGTGTTAGATTTCTTGATTGTTATCAAGTACCAAACGAGTTACACTTAATATGAGTACAAATCATGTTTCATTTGTTTTACAATTTTGTAATATTCAACTATGGTTAAATATTTTCTTTGTTAATCAGCTACTATGTATATCAGAAGGGGTTTTGTGGATATTATAGTAATTTTGATAGTTGAGATCATGAATCAATTGAAGGAGTCACATAATACGACGAAACGGCCGTCCAGTGTTTCCAGGTTTTCCATAGTTGTCTAGCTTCAGCTGATTCATGATCTCAACTATTCTGTATAGTTTGTTATCAATTCATTTGAGTTATTTATATCAACAAGTTTTGACTTTCGTCAGTAATCATCATACTATCGATTCATTGTATTCCTCTGTTTTCTAAAATCCATCTAATAATAATTTTAAAGTTTCATCAAATAATATGATATATAACCTGTTTCAGTATGAACTTTCATTCTCAACATAGCGCGTGTTAAAATATAAACATATTCACGTGTTATCAGAATGGGGGGTTTGTAGAAATTGTTATAATTTTTAATATTTGAATTAATGAGTCGATGTATGCAAAACCACCATCGAAAACCTGAAAACACTGGTTGGTCTTATAGTCCTAGTATGAAATTCCTCAACAGTACACATCCACGATCCTGCAAGCGGGACTCAAACCTAGAAACTTCAGTCTCGCGCGACAATGCTTAATCTCTAATCCACTGACGGTGTTAAACTCTAACTTCCGCCAAACCATGATACTGCACCGTCATCTTGTCTTCAGTGATCTAATGATAATGAAACTACTTGTAATCAATACAAACCACAAGTTGATATTAATGCTAGAATATTTAAATCATAGAAGAAAAACAATCCTTTAAATGTCAATCCAAATAGATCTTTAACAAAAATAATGTTAATTTGTAGGTTTAAAGAAAACTTACCAGTTAAACTACAAACATTGGAAAACTATTTCATTAACCTATTAGAAAAACACTCATATATATAATTATATCTATAAACTACTTATTATTGATACTTAAATAGATAAAATATATTAATACTAGTATTGTACATAAATAACAGAAAGTTTTTTTTTAAATTTAACTAATTAAATTAAAGATAAGATTAATTTATTGAGTTGGTTGGTTGGTTGAAAGGGGAAAAAGTCAACCAACCTGTCAATCTTGGTTTTGTTTTTTTTCTAGTTTTTCTTCTTATTTTTATGTTTTGTATTTGTTTACAAGTTTCTTTATCTTTCTGTTGTTGATTAGTGGAAATTTTTTAAATAACAAATAAAAATTAGTTAGAATGCTTGTTTTTACTCATTTTTTCTTTTGAAAGAAACAACAAATAAACAAACAATAAACAAATGGAAATTTATAAAACAAAATGAGGATGGAAATGTTTGTTGTCACTTATTTCATTTTTACAAAGTAACTATGAGAAATAGAGAAATTTAATGTTTTATAATACTATTTAAAAGTTTCTTTTTCAAAAAAATTTATAGGAAGGGGTTTTGTGGATATTACACTTATTTTAACAATTGAGATCATGAATCAATTGAAGCTAGATAAACATGTAAAACTTGGGAGCACTGGACAACCGTTTCGTCCTGTCGTCGGACTCGTCAGCAGCGCTCATCCATCCTCGGGAGATTCGAACTCAGGACCTATCAGTCTCGAGCTCGAGTGCTTGACCAATAGACCATTGAGTCGGTATCCAACGGTGTTAATGTCTAACTTCAAACAATCCACGAACTCTGAGCAACCATTCATCATTGTCTTTAGTAATTTACTATCTCACAAAAAATCGGTTGAACTCCACTGGTCACTACTTCTCACTTCATGATCTCAACTGCTTAAAAAAATTTATGGCAACATAATGAAGTTGAACAAATAAGATAATAGTAATTTAGTAGTGTGACGAATTCCAAAAGAATAAATAAACTTTATTATTTTCAAAAGGGAATGAATTAGTTTAAATGAATCATATCAGCGTGTATACGTCAAACAAACGCATAATGTTGGTAAGGATTTCATAAAAAACAGCAATTACATTTTATGAATGAATGAAGGGGACTTTAATAGTGTTAAGGTATAATGAACGATAAATTAGACAGAGTCTGATTCATTGTTAATTACAACAATTACGGAGTTATTTCGAAAAAAATATGAAAAAACATGCATTAAATGCTCCATTTGCAAATACTCCATCAGTTTTCGCAAACTTCATCGTTTCTTCACTGTTTTTTACATTTACTCTCTGTTCCCGTTCTCTTCGATTCGATTTTCTCAAACTTTTGTTGGCAGGTTTTGCACTTCTGATTGGTGCTACATACTATTTATTTGTGTCAACATAAGTAGTATACATCACAAAGGCACAGTTTATGGTCATCAAATCAATTCATTAACACTTTTTTCTTGAAATTTAAGTCTTGACAAAATAGCATCACTGGTGTTTATAAGACAAGCCCCCCTAAAGCCTAAATATTTGCCAATTAAATTATTTATTTTTGGTATTAAACTCAATGATATATTATTATTAAGAAAATTGTGTTTTAATAAATGAAATATTCCATATAACTGACTTGAAAGTACGTGAACATAATTGTGAACTTAGTGAAATAGACTTTGTTCTTCACGGTCCCAGTTCGAGATTCAATAATTTGCTATCTAAATATTCACATTACAGCATTTCCATTCTTTTGACACATGATAACAATCAAAATACCAAAATGTTAATTTTCTTTCTTAAATCAAATAGGAAGGCATTTTTTCATTGGATGAATAGATTATGATTAGCAGTGGAAAATTAAATGTATGATTATTTTGATTTTGGGTTCGTCAGCTTGATTTACCTGCACTTAGGTGTTTATGTTTACACAAGACTGCAATACTAGTAACTTTCACTTCAAACGTCAACACTTTATCCACTAAGCTATTGAGCCCAAATAATCGCTCACTTGTACATCAGGTTTGATATATATGCAATTATTAGAAAAGTTTTTAATTATCCCGTTGTAGATATTCTTGACTAAATTTCGATCAATGAAAACCTACAAGAGAACGGCTAGATCAAGTCTATTCGCAGAGGATCCACACATATTAAACAAAACTGACCAAAAGTATCATTAACGAGAGAATTCAGAACTTTCCTAGTAATAAGAAGAAGTTGTACGGTAACTATTTTTGATGAGATCTGATCTACTAAACATACACCAATAAAAGTAAGCAAAACTCTTCCTAAGATATGTTGAGGTAGAAATTTAAGGATTTGAAACACAGAAAAACCATGTAACAACTATTTAAGTAAATATGTAAATTAATTTCTATATGAAATTGGCGAAATCTGAAACTCATCCAGTATATAACATCAAACATCTTTGCACATCTTTAGCATTACCATCACACTAGTAAACCTAACTGATTAAAGCATGCATTTAAATAACACTGTTTGGTTTGTACAAATGAAAAAAGGTTATTCAAACTGGATTTGAATGGTCAGTAATAACCAGTATCTGATACAATAAAGAGAAATGTTCATACTCATCAACAACTAAATCATCATAACCTGTTAACAAAAAAATAAACCATTTAGTATAGAATACTATCAAACAAATATAATAATAATAACTCATTATTTCTCGTCAAAAAAATTTAGGTCAAATGTTTGAAGAATACATTCCTTATTCATTATGAATAGGAAGGTTAAATATTAATGGAAATCCATACATTTACCTATTAAATGATTCATTATCAATAATAAATCTAGTATATACAAATTATCTCATAATAATAACATAAATACTATCGAATATTAAAAATTAATCAACTTATAAGTAAAAATAGATAAAGACTAGCGGTGGAATCCAGAATGTGCGTTTCGTCCTATTTGGGACTCGCCAGCTGGATGTACTTGCATCTCAGAGTTGATGTTCACTCTGAGACTCGAACCCAGTATCTTTCGCTTCAAACGCCATCGTGTTATCCACTTAGCTATTGAGTGAACATCAACTCTGAGATGCAGGTACATCCAGCTGACGATTACCAAATAGGACGAAACGTGCATCCTGGATTCCAATGCTAGCCACTATCCATCTTTACTTACAATGCTTGTGAATTAAGGCTATATCGAGGCAATATACACAGTATGCAGATATGCCAATAAGAGACTGATCAGTTGCAGTCCTAAACATCAAAAAGAAGATTCAAACAAACAACACTAAGTGAATTTATAATAAACTTACTTCACAATAAATTCATGATTTGTTTCCATTAAAATATTTTTTTCATTTATAACATGTTCTTGTTGTTTCGTCTCTACAATATAATGTTTCTTTAATTTTTTCAATGCAAAACACTGTCGTTTATCTTTATTTAAATAAACCTACATATATAAAACAGAAAAAAATACAATAATAACTATACTTATGATAAAAGAAAACCTATATCCGTTATATTGTGATATGGGTTACTTATATCCACATAAGTATTCTATAATGATGATCAGGGATAGAATGTATTTCAATAGAAAATCGATAAGGAAAGAACGAAAACGAAACGCAATTAGTATAAAAATGAATGAACAATAAAATCAGAGACGATGAACCAATATTTGCAGAAGGAACTGTGAAGATTTAGACAATTGATTCCTCGTTTGCAAATTAATTGTTTACTGTATGGTTGTAAGATTTTAGCAAGATATTCTGTAATTTGGTGATGATATACATTCGACTGTACCCACTCGTGTTCTTGTTCACTTCTATATTACTAATATACATTAAAAATTAAATGACTTAATAACTAAATCACTATAACTCAATTAACACAATTACATTATTTATATATAGTTGAAATCCCGATTCAATTGAATCTAAACCACCATGGAAAACCTGGAAGCACTGGACAGCTGTTTCATCCTATTGTGGGATTCCTCAGCCGTGCGCATTCACAATCACATTATTTTAAAATGAAAATAGAAAATAAAAACTAAAAATCCAGTTGCTATTTTATTAAAATTAAAGTAATTTTAATAATTTTAATCATGATACAGATAGAATTAAAAAGTATTACTGGTTTTGGATACTATGCAAACTAATCGATATAATTTTGAAATAAAAAAGTGTATTATGCAACAAGGGATTTTCATCTTGTTAACCCGGAACGAATTTACAGAGGGTTAGATTTCTTATGTTTAGATTTTCTTATGTATTGCAGTGAATGAGAACACAAGTGAGAACAATCAAGTAGTAAATTACAGAATCTCTTAGTATAATGTGAGAACCACATATTAAATGCTTTATTTGTAAAATGTACATCAATTGTCCTCAGACTTTACTGTTCCTTCATTTCCATACCTATTACTCTTTGTTCTCATTCTCTTCTCTTCCTTCTTTTGTACCTTCTGTCTCCAGGCATTCCACTTTTGATTGGTGATACTTACTCAATATATCTGTCAACATAAGTAGCACACACAACAGTATAATATCTTAAATACTTAGACTGTTATAACTGTAATGTAGGTTGGTATTTGACTTGAAAAGTTTTACTTTCAACTTTACTGTCCCATAGTTATCATAAATTACTTATTCCCCTAATTTTATGATTTTGTATCACTGATAGCATGAGCATGTTTAAAGTGTAGTTTCTTAAATGTGATTCTGTTTGGCCAGTGTGTGGATGTCTACCTTCATTATTTTTGTGTACAGATGATAATAAGACGATTAAGGAGATATCTGCCTGCTAATTCTGGCTTTATATTAGATACTAGATTAGAAAAACGTCGAGAATCGATAAGCATCATGGTCTTGGTTGTTTGTTCATTGTCAGTGAATGAATGATCTGTATACGTTTGTCAGTCCTATGCCCAATAGGCGAAACAGTTACTAAGTGGGTTCCACAGTCAGTTGTACTCACAATAAATAAACCAATCATATTAGTAGCAAACAGAATAAAGAAATGTAATTTTTAAAAAACAATTTTTATTACAAACTCTAACTTAATGGTTATCTGCAAAGTCAGATATCATATAATGGCTTACGACAGAATCAACGCAGATTTTGTGGTAGTTCTGTAATATTTCTGAAGCGAAATCTACATATAGTCAGTTATGTGTCTATTATATCTTTGAACCATCATATTATTTCAACTTCAAGCTGAAACATATTCTTTTCATAATACATATCAACTTTTCCGTCTACTCAACAATAGACTAATGAAATACCTAATTAATATGTGCACACTTTCATGAATGACATTTGAAATAACTTGCCTGTAACTCTTAAAAGTGATGGAATCATTTGAAGTTGACGCAATGATTGTACACTTATATACTTAGATGGTGATGTGTTTGAAGGTGACATTGACATACACGTCTCAAACTTCCTATGATTTTAACTTCAACTTTATTGAATATTAACCAGATTGTATACTTGTTTGAATACTTCCTTTAGGAATATTGTGTGATAAATGATCAGAATGGCAAAACATTTCCTCGACTATGGATGAATATACATTAGTTATTTCAAATGTGAAAAAAATATTTTATCTAGTGCTACATTAAAGATAATATATTAACTGTATACCAAAATAAAGTTTAATATAAAATAAATACTCACCAGTTGTACACGACCAAATCCACCGATTCCAATTGTTGATACAACAGTGAAGTCGGTAAGTTTGATGTCAGAAAATTGCTTTTCTCTTTGACTACAAAATTAATATAAGCATTTAATGAATAGACAATGACTTAAATAGCTTTATAAGACATAATTAATTATCAGAAGAGGGTTTTGTGGAGATTTAAGTAATTTTATATAGTTGAAATCATAAGTCAATTGATACAGGCTCAGTGGTCTAGTGGTTAGGCGCTCACGCACGAGACTGATAGGTCCTGTGTTCGAATCTCGCGAGATGGGATCATGGATGTGCACTGATGAGGAGTCCCACAATAAGACAGAACAGCCATCCAGTGCTTCCAATTTTTCCATGGTGGTCTAGCTTTAATTGACTCATGATTTCAACTATATAAAATTACATAATTACTTAATTAATGATAAGTATTAACTTTGGTTTTTTCTTTAGCTTTGTATATTTTAAAAAACTGTCATTTTCATGAATACACAATAAATAGGCTGTAAATATATAAAAAATACTTAGATGTAATCAGTATTTGAAAGTATTTTTTATATCCAGTTTCACAGTAAATGATCCTTTGCGTGCGATCCATGTTGATATGATCCGATTCAATTTGATGATCATAAATATTTGTTTTATTGGGTTATCAACAACAATGATAGTTTATATGTTTTACTCTAGCCCTCATTAATCGAAATTATATATACATATATATATATATATATATATATATATATATATATATATATATATATATATATATATGACCTCAGGAAATTACTCAAGACAGTAAAATGTCAGTAATATGCAACTGAAAGCATTATCACCAAAACATTCGTGTATCGATACTCATTACATAGCCCCGAACAATTTGGAAACCGGAAATATCTCTTTCCAATAGAAATATATCAATGAAAATGTCCTAATGTATTTAAATTCTTGATAAATCATTAAAATGGTATCTAATGTGTTAGTAGAGTAAAAAATAATATATTGTTTTCAAATATAATCTTTCATTGTTATAAAAGCCATTTGCTTTTAATTTTCTTATAGAATATTTCATACCTATTTACATTTGTTTAAATCACCATTAAATTATTATGTGAAGAGAACAAACCAGATTCCAGTGCTGTATATATGCTGTGTATGCTGTATATAAACGTTTGAATTGTGGTTGTTCGTGCTTCTGTCTGGTTGTGAAATATGTTTCCTCTTCTGAACCTGGACTTCTCTCTTTAGTAAACGGGGCTTGGATGCATCGGAATAATTAACTCATTTGATCATAGTGTCACTGAATTATCGTTCCGTTCGCGGATTAGGTGAACTCTTATTCTCTTCAAACATAGTAGAGTGCTTTGAAGATGTCAAGTTTTCACTAAACATTGTTGAGAATATGTTGTTTCAACTGTATATTTTCTTTCATATCTTCTGACAATTAATGTAGAACATTTTTTGAGCACACAATCAACTATTATTATATATATGTTTTAATTCATATTGGTTAATCCAAACTGTAATAATTAATGTTTGAGTAAAACATTGTTCACTTACCTAATAGTAGGTTTTTCATCTGGATAGCTTCGTTCAAAGCTGACTAAATCCTTAATGAGTACATTATATGAACTGTTAATTATAGAAAGAAAACAATAATACATTATTTTGAATACTCAACTGATTTACCATTACGATTATGGTAGTTTATATATTTATTAATATTATTGCCGTGGATGTGATTTAAATGTGGAAGGTAATATGTAAATTAAGTCTTATTTATTATAACTCTGATTTATTCTTTGTTGAATAATTACCATGCTGATGAAATTATATTCATAACACATTATTAATAATAATAACGACTGAAAATATCAGTCAACCAAACTACTGTTACCAGATACCCATTGGCTAGTAAAACGGATACCTCACTCGATAATACTTTGATGTACAGAATGATTGTTACTGGTTCGAGATTCTATGTAAATATCAGAATTTAAATCCAGGTTCATCCAGCTGATGCATCTCAATTAAAATGAAACATGTATTCTGGATTCCAATGTTAGACACTACTTAATTCTAATAAAAACTATGTGTTAAAATGTAGCATTTTAAGTTTGTTAGACAGGTAATTTATCATCACTGATGATTATAACGATAATCTTATTCATGTATCTAAGCATTAATGGTTTCTGTACATTTATGATTACACAAGATATACATTATAATCTGGCGGCATGCATTTATTTTATACCTACGTCTATTTATTCAATTATGCAATGTCAAAGGAAGTTGCGAATAGCAATTAAATCTAATTATTAAATAGATAAAACATCTTATCATCATTTCAAATGCAATTTAGTTTCATCATTTGCAGAAAATTTGAATAAATTAAGAGTAAACTAGATTTTATTTGAAATAAATAGTGTCTGATAGATTATAACAGCAAACGTTTATTGTTAAATACAAACATTTATGAAAACGTATTCACTTACTCTCTGTCCAGCATTAGACAATCTACACCACGTGGTGGCATTGCGATTATATTTGCGGTACGAACATCTTCGCTTTAAGTAAGGGTAAAATTAACAAAAAGACAGCTTTCAGGCAATAGTATGGTAGCACAATGGAGTACGTATAAATAATAAACGTCTATAGTCATGAAGACCATTCAGTAAATAATATTTCACTTTTCAAAGTTTATTGCAAGTAAAAGAAAACGTAATGGTTGCCGTGTTACGGTTTTAGTTTATTTGAATTAGTTATTAAGCTGCCTGACTGAATGTTTAACGTTATCTTGTATTTACATTTGTATCAATAAAATACTTGGTAGAGATTATCGTTAGTTCGACATGTTATTATCGATATGATCCAGTAATTGAGACTAAAGTTGTCGTACACTAGGGAATATGATTTAATAAACCTATCAATGTAGCCAAATGAAAATTGATAATCTTCTAAATCAATCAACTATTATACTGAAAATAAATCAATGATATAAATGGCACAATCACTTTAATTATAGGTATTGATGCCAAGGTTAAGGTTGTGGTAATCTAATTTCGGTCATATTTTTCCTTTTTTGAAGTGGCATATAACAAAAAAATATATTCATTATAATCATTTTAATTGTTTACCAGGAACTTACTCAGTTAAAGCTTTTTCTCCAAACCAATCACCACGTGTCATATAACGAATAAATTGTTCATTGCATTCATTGCCACGGTTTTTTGTCACTTTCACCTAGAAAGTAATCATTCACACATTCACTATTTTATGGTAAGGACAATAATAATGATCAGGGCTGAACAGAAAGCTTTACAATGAAACTAAGAAATTAATCTATTCTAGATAGGAATCAATAAATGAAATATCCACCGTCAGTAGATCCCTAACATGTAAATGGTTGAAATAATTCCTCGAAGTTTACGAAATTTAGGTTATACCAGTTAAATTGTCTGGACGAGACGTTGAAATTATTTAAATTTCAATCGCTGAGACTATTTCAAATATAATTTTTCACATATAATGACTTCTCTATATTCGGCGCCCAATTTTTGTCAAGCTATTCATTCTAACCTTGACGAATATTCGTACAAAATAAATTATTACGAGCATATTAAGTTATCACTTTGCCTAAAAGCTGTTGACTTAAATATGTTCTCAATTAAAGCTTATTGAGTGTATCACCTTTTTGAAAGATTATTTTGTAAGCAATATATTATGACCATATAAAATCATATACTTACTTTTCCCCCTGTTATAATGTAAAATGTGTTTCCACGTTCTCCTTCTCTAATGACATATTCATCAGGTTCATAATGTTCTGATCCAAGTACAACAGCAACTTTACCAAGAACTTCTAAATTTAAATCCTTAAATGTTGGGACACTAAAAGTACAATGATAAAATTATAATTTATAGAAACTTATCCCATTTTAAAGGGGGTATACTTGGTCAATTCGGATCTAAATCGAATAGATGAAATTTTAAGCGATTGTGATAAGTTTATATATACTGCATTACATACTCTCTGAAATGTAAAATTACGTCTGTCTGATTTTACAAACAGATCAACAAAAGTGACACAAATGACGTAGTTCAGGATAATAAAAGTACATTTGGACGAATCTTTTGAAATTAAATTAAAAGTATTCACAATCGATAGAACTGAGTGGATTAACAATTATTCTTAAACACTTTAAACTTAATATGAATAGTAGTAATGCGTATGAAACAAAATACTACTGGTCCATAGTACGTCACATTTCTATGTACCAGGAAAAAAGGTTTGACTTTAGGTTGATGATTCGTTCAATGGAACACAGATTGAAATTCAAAGTCAAGTATATAATTACCAGTGTAAAAACTGATTTCTATGTATCCATAAAATTAATCTCCAAAATATATTCACACCTCTTGAATTATATCAATTCTGTTAACTTTTTCTTGGGTGGTTTAGTAATGACTTTTCATGAGCAAGGAAATGTTTTTAACCATTTATATAAAATTCAAAAATATTTACGTGAATAATAACTATTCTTACAAAAAAATTCAGTCCTACTGTACGGAGCTGAAACTTGGAGAACTACTACATCCATCGTCAAGAAGGTACAAGTATTTATAAACAGTTGTTTACGCAAAATACTGAACTTTCACTGGCTGGATACCATCAGCAACAGAGTTTTATGGGAGAGTAAAAACCAGCTTCCATCTGAGGAGGAAATTAGGAAAAGACGTTGGAAGTGAATAGGACATATATTAAAGAAATCACTAAACTGCATCACGAGGCAGATCCTAACTTGGAATGGTGAAGGAAAACGGAAAAGAGGAAGGCTAAAGAACACATTACGCTGGGAAATAGAAGCAGATATGAAAAGGATGAATGTTAACTGGAAGGGATTGTCCAGGACAGGGTTAGATGGAGAATGCTGGTGGTCAGTCTATGCCCCTCGACGAGGGGCAACAGGCGTAAGTAAGTAAGTAAGTTACAAAAAATTGACAAACTTTAATTAAACTAATTATGATATATAAAGATTTATGCTTCATTCATTATTTGACAAAGGGTAAAATATTTCTGTAGCGTGATGTTTAATAGATATCAGAGTCTAAATTATAAACTAGACTGTAAGATACCAAAAAATACTTGGAATTAAACATAACACTTACGAATTCTAGATCAAATCATACTAAAATATATTCCCAAGTTCACATGACAACAAATCAGTTATAAGATTACTTGATGAAACACATTGTGGTATCAAGTCATTAAGAAAAAAACAAACATATACTCATTTTTCCGATTAATTTCCTAAACTGGTTTATGTAGCAATAATTCAGTTCTATATCATTCTCGGCAATAATAAGAGATGATCAGTAACAATATTAATTGTACAGTCACTTAAATCTATTGATAAAAATCGATAAGAATATGACAAAACAACTATTAAGTAACCAAGTAATAGATCACCTGTTTGAAGTTGAAGAGTGGAATATTAATTCCTAAAACTTCATTAGCTGAGTCTAATTAAACTTATTAAATAGGTTCCATACAAATTATTAAATGATTTGGTTGAGTATATAACATTATATAGTCAGATTAATATCCCAATTTTAAATCATATAACTGTAAGGTAGAATTGAATCAAGATTAAATCTTGGTAACAAGTTTATATCTCCAATTATAATGAATTTATTTTCATTCTTGTTGTCAAAGGAAATATTATGAATTATTCATGCGTATTAATTACCTTTTCAAGAATTTCACATATTCTGTTTGTTTTTGTATCCCTGTAAACATCATAATTGATTGAAAACATGGACGATCTATTGCCCATAATTTACAATCGGTTATTGCTATAAATAATTAAAAGAAAATTAGAACTTGAATGTCAAAATAAATAATTTTATGATCATACATTCATTCAATTAGATATAAATGATAAAACATAATTTTTTATTTAAAAAGGGTATCTGTCATGTTATTCTTATTTTGGAGAACCTAAGAACCTTTAAAAGCTGATTAAAACGTATCAATAATATGCACTCAGATCTATCTAAAAGAACAAACTTATCTTTATCCGATCAACTATGTTAGTGCTATGTTACTAAGTGATTAAAATTTGAATATAGATCAATGGATAACGAAAAATTGGATAAGAGGTCTTGTACAAATTTCGAACTAGAAGATACAGAGTAATATCTCTTCTAGAGCCACTGTTTTACTAGGACCAAATGGCTGATTAGTACTTTTTAGTTTTTAATATTTTCCCGGTTGAAATAGTTAAATGATGAAAACATTCTTCATATTTCCTGTTTTTCAAAACTTTCTTTCTTTTGTAAACTCTCACCGTAACAAAATACGATCTGAGAGTGTAATAACTTCGTTTCAATGCTTGTGAATTAAGGCTATATCGAGGCAATACGCACAGTATGCACATATAGCCAAAAAGAGACTGACCAGTTGCAGTCCTAAACATCAATGGGAAAATTCAAACAAACTATACTAAGTGAATTTAAACTTCAACCCATCAAACAAGCAAGTTGCTATCAGGACTCAGTAGCTAAATGGATAACACGATCGCGTTTGAAGCAAAAGGTACTAGGTTCGACTCACTAAGTGAACATCAACTCTGAGATGCAGGTACATCCATCTGACGAGTCCCAAATAGGATGAAACACATCATGGATTTCACTGCTAGCCACTATCCATCTTTGCTTACAAATTCCATTATTGATTTGAAACACTACTCCACAAACGATAGTTCAAAGCAATCAGTTAACTAAGTTTGTCACAATAGCATATTTGATAAATATATTCTTTATTCATTTATCATTTATTATTTCTCTCAAATTATAGTATTATTTCTGTTTATTTATTTCCCGTCTTGCTTTTTTCACGCATTTTTGATAATTAAATAGTAGTATAATAGATTTCCTACTCATAATATATCTTTTATTCATTATTTCATGATGTAAACACATTTCTGTATCTAAATAGTTTTTGTAAACTCTTAGACCTCTGAGTTAATTATTTCCCAGTCTTGTAAATTTGACGACAAAAAATGAGTCTAGCATTGATTAACTTTATATGACTAGGTATAAATATTAGCCCACTAATTTATTCAAATGTTTTTGTATAGATAATTGAAGGTAAATACAAGTCAACTATCAATGCAAATACATGTTACATTTATACATCATCACATGTATTTCAGTCGTATTCATTTTTATTAAGCTATTCAGGAAATCAGTTTTATTTCTCTGAACAATAATATGAAAAACAACTAGGTTACTAACAAGGTTTTCATCCTTCAATCGATAAATATGCATCCAAATTATTCACAATATATTATGTTCTAATTTTATCAGAATTCTTATTACTTGACCACTCAAAATTTAATAGAAATTTAATAATCAATGTTTTGAAAAGCATATATTTTTAGTTACCTCTTACACTAGCTGTTCTTGTACAGTTATACAGAATAGCCAATTCTCCAAAAACTGTACCTGGACCCATTTCACGCAAACGTTCACCAGCTTTTTGTACTTCAACGTAACCATCTAGCAAAGTTGGAAAACATATAACATTATATTATATTATAAGCTATATGATAAAAAGGGAATATAATTTCCATGGGAAGTAAAAAGATTTTATTTAATACTCCTTTTGTTTCAACTCATTCTATCACTTTATATCTCAAGTTATGCGACAGATGTAACAAAAAATTCAATGATGATCTTTGAGACCATGATCTCTAGAAACAGATAAATTTGACAATATCATATGGTCAGTAATCGATGAGTGTAAAGAAGTCAGTCTTATGGTAAGTTGATATCCGGAAATCTCATAATGAAGGTCTCTGGGTGTAACAATGAGTGACTTACATTAGAAACTAAGTTTGTCAACATTTTGCATACGTTCTTCTAAGGTGTCTGTAAGATAATGACTGATAGCTTCCTTCTTACTAACTTCAGTGATCTGAAAAATCAGTAAAATGAATTAAAGTGAAAATGAACTAGGTTGGTAGTATAGTCGCTTACCTGGATTAAGACTAAAGTCAAATAATGATTTGATACAAAGAATTAACATCTAAGATAAACCTTCCCTTTTTCATTACTGACTAAGTAATTTGCCCTCTTACCATCTAAGAATAGCATAAACACACAATAAGGGACAAAGTAACCCATGATTTTGTATAAATGTAAAGACTTGTCTTTACTTAGTAATCAAAAAGTGGTTAAAATGATCAAAGTTTATTATGATTATTTCACATATAGCTTTGAAAAAAATATAGATGAACTCCAAATTAAGATTAGTAAAAATAGATTTGAACTCAATAAAGCCATTATTTCAATCTATGTTAGCTATTATTGTAGCGAACAAGATCACAAATGGGTACAATCGAACTATACTGACTATTGCACTAAAATTTAACAACCGTACAGTAAACAGTTAATTTGCAAACTATCAATCAATTGTCTAAATCTTCACCGTTCCTTCTGCAAATATCAATCCATCGTCTTCGATTATTATTGTTCAAACATTTACATACCAATCGCGTTTCGTTACTTTTCTTTCCTTATCGATCATCTACTGAAATACATTCTTTGCTTGACCATCATCATACACTACTTATGTGAATGTAAGCAACCCACACCACATTATGACTTCATATGTTTTTTTAGTGTAGGTTTCTCTGTTATTGTAACAAATCCCTCATCAAATTTAAAAAGGTAAGAAAATAACGAAATGAAGAAACTGTTAGGTACATTGAATATATCGATTAGAATAATTCGATCAAAAGTAGACAGTGAGAACCTTCTATGAAATAACATTGCTTTCTTGTTGTATTTATAAATGCATTATTGTTCACTATGGAAAAATATTGAATTTTCTGATGAAGATATACATCATGAAGATGAAAGTGTTCCGTTTGTTTAGTTCCTTATTTTTGAAAATATTATGAGAATTATTCTTCTGTAGTAAATAAGCAGAAGGTTCTGATATCTAACGAGTGAGAATATACAAATCTTCATAAACAGCTGTTATCTTTCTTTTTAATGCATATTTAAATGGAAATAACAGGTATATACTATTTCAATTTATAAAACCCCATTAAAAGAAATGATTCAAAGTTTCATTCTCACTAATTGACTAAAATCTAAGTTTCTTTAAAATCAACCTTCAGGCAACTATTACCTTATTCAATAGCTAATTATTACTGAGAAAAAAAAGAAGGAAAAGAGTTTTCTCGAAAATACTTAAAGACTCAACAATGTAAACTAAATTCTTGTAAAGTAATGTGAAATCAATCGATGGAGAAAAAATTGGTAACTATAATGAACTATGATAAGCAAAGATGGATAGTGGTTAGCAGTGGAATCCAGGTCGCGCGTTTCGTCGTATTTGGGACTCGCCAGATGGATGTACCTGTATCTCACAGTTGATGTTCACTCTGGGACTCGAACCAAGTACCCTCGCTTCAAACGCCATCGCGTTATCCACTCGGCCACTGAGTCCTGATAGCCACTTGCTTGTGTGATGGGGTGAAGTTTAAATTCACTTAGTATTGTTTGTTTGAATCTTCATATCGATGTGTTAGGACTGCAACTGGTCAGTCTCTAATTGGTATATGTGCATACTGTGCGTATTGCCTCGATATAGCCTTGATTCACAAGCATGATAAGCAAAGATGGATAGTGGTTAGCAGTGGAATCCACCCCATCGCACAAGCAAGTGGCTATCAGGATTCAGTGGCCGAGTGGATAACGCGATAGCGTTTGAAGCAAGGGTTTGAGTCCCAGAGTGAGCATCAACTCTGAGATGCAGGTACATCCAGCTGACGAGTCCCAAATACGACAAAACGCGCATCCTGGATTCCACTGCTAGCCACTATCCATCTTTGCTTATCATGCTTGTGAATCAAGGCTATATCGAGGCAATACGAACAGTATTCATATATGCCAATTAGAAACTGACCAGTTGCAGTCCTAACACATCGATGGGAAGATTCAAACAAACAACACTAAGTGAATATAATGAACTATATTTTTTTGTAATGTAAAAGAAATCGAAAAAAGATAATTCAGCGAAGAAAATTTACTTTTCGACGAAATCATTTACTTAAGCTGTACATTGTTATATATAGTTATATGGAAAATGCATGTCCATAGGAGGCTAGGAAAGAATGCATTCTAAATTGATTCGACTGACCCTCATCAAAAATGATTATCCACCTACGTTCATCGATGGCAACTTTACACCTAGACTTCGTCAGGAAAAAGCTTCGACAATGCAGAAGAAAACTTTTTCTATGAATATGGAATTTAAAAGAAAACGGATTTCAAAATCGTTAAATAAAACATTTTACGCATCTAAGCTTCGAATTGTTTTCTCTAGGCGACCTACCATTTTGGGGTATGTTAAGGATGAACTTTTGCTTTGGACCACATCAATGTGTATCTATAAATTTACTTGCTCATATAGGGCACATTACATAGGCCGCACAAAGCGATCACTTTCCAAACGCATCCCGGGACACTATCCGGCTTGGCTCTTAAAAGGAGTATGTAAAAGGATTACTAGTTCAATACAGGAGCATTTAAATAACTGTAAACACATCGCTTCAGTTTGGGAACCTGGGCAGTATAACAGCCCTCAAGCAAATTCAATGAGATTTGTATGGCGCATATATATCTGGTGCTTCCTTGTACCAATATTTATGTGTTTAAATAAATAAAAATAAAAAACACATCGCTCCAAAAGACTTCTGTTTTAAAGTAATCCACAGAGTCAAAAGAACCGGATCAAAGGGGGGTCGAATCGATATTACTGTTTTGCATTTTTAACTCAAATCAGTTATTATTATTATTATTACTTTGTACAAGTTTGCTTGATTATTATTCAGTCTATTATTATGACCTTTGTGTTTGTCGCTTTTCTCCATATCTGTCCATTGGACTATTATCAGATCCATAAATTATTTTCTTCCTTACCCCTTGATTAGTACGTAACCTCATTCGTTATTTGTTGTCGAATCAATTTATGATTCAATCTTTCTTAGCCTCCTATTGATATATATTTTCCATATAACTACATATACGAATGTACAGCTAAAGTAAATGATTTCACCGAAAAAAAATTTTCTTCGCTGAATTCTCTTTATTCTTATTCGATGGCACTATGAGTTATTTCAAAATAGAAAAATTTCATTAAACTATTAAAATCTGTAATATTAAGTTGCAATAATGAATAATGAATGCCGACTCAGTGGTCTAGTAGTTAAGCGCTCGCGCAAGAGACTGATAGGATCTGGATTCAAATCTCACGAAACGGGATCGTGGATGCTCACTGCTGAGGAGTCCTACAATAGGACGAAACGGCTGTCCAGTGTTTCCAGGTTTTTCATGGTGGTCTAGCTTCAATTGACTCTCAACTATATAAAATTACAAAAAAATCTCCACAAAATACCCTTCTGACAATGAATTTATAGATATCAATTTCAATATTATACTTGATAATTTCAAATAAATTAGGTATTAGATAGAGAGTTATTAGTAATAAATGTATGTTTTGTTATATCTCAATGAGTAGAAAAAAATTGTATTTGTGATATTGTGTTTTTGAACTTGTCAACATGAGTTTCTTTTTTATACATTAGTTTTCATTTCGTCAACGATGTGGGCGAAAACATTGGAGCAAGCAGTTTTTATATACTAATGTATATAATAAAAAATTTGTTTATATGGTATGGTGTTTCTCGTTTATTTTTCTTTTTTATTAAAGAAGATAATGCAGTGAGTTGTATGTGTTATTTTTCTCTTTTTTTTTCTTTTCATTTTGCCAAGTCCTATTATTATTATTGTTGGCTTATGTAGGGTTTTCCCATAGTATATATAAAATGCTTTTAAGGCATTAGTTAATTAAAAATGGGGCTTAATTCAAATTATTATGACAGATTCTCTAGCGCATTAAAAATTCACTAAATAATAATGTGTATGATATTATTTTCTTTATTCCAAAAACTCAGCATAGTAATGAATTGTTTATTTTTATAGTTGAAATCATGAATCAATTGAAGCTAGACCACCAAGGAAAACCTGGAAACAATGGGCGGCCATTTCGTCCTATTATGGGACTCCTTAGCAATGGGCATCCACCATCACGCGTCGCCAGATTCAAACCCAGTACCTGTCAGTCTCGCGCGTTAGTGCTTAAACTTTAGACCACTGAGCCGGAATTCAACGGCGTTGATGTCTAGTTTCAGCCTATCCACGAAATTGAGCGACACATCCACCATTGTCTTCAGTGATTTACTATCTTACGACAGACCTGGTTAAACTCCACTGGTCACTACTTCTCACTAGAACTCCAGGAAATACTTCATGGAGCCAGTCACTAGTGAACATATATTGATTATTATCAGAAGGAGTTTTATGGATATAATAGTGATTTTGATAGTTGTTATATAGAAAGCTAACATACACGTAACGTAACATATGTAAAATTAAGCTAAGGTTATCCACAACTTTCATCAAGCTTGTGCCAAAGTCAGACATTTTAACCAACTTTTGTTCAGTTAGGCAGCGATTCTTTCATATTCAAGAGTAATTTTTGTATGGTATTTTATTTCAAGCACTCATATTCATTACACTGTTGCTTTTCATTCGACCTAAGGAATTGCTCTACTCTGAACATTTCCATAGAATATAAGATATAGAAAATAACTCAAGTTTCAAAGATTGAAATTGTATTATCTTGCCAAATCTTCAAAACGATACATTAGATACTTGATTATAATATTTATATCCTAGATCCATCTTGTGGAAATTAGACTTAGTATTGTAAACACGCTGACGAAATACATTTAAATAACATGCAAAAATAATCTAGTGATCTAAATTGCATTGACATCATTATCAGGTCTATAAAAAAATGCGACATCGAAACACATAGCCATGCTGAATAATGTTTTTAAAGAAACCTTAGAAAATAAATGCAGTTCAGTGAAAAGCTAAGATCAAAAGTCGATAAAGCTGGCTGTTCAACAGCCCTATATGCCATTGCGACATCTATGATTTATTACTTAGGTTACTTTGTGTGGATACTTAGATAAACTGGTATACTAATAAAGATAGTTACATGTTAAAAATGAGATGTTTCGAGAAGCCATAAATCACATCGATCGTTGTTGGAGATGTCAAATCCCCAGAAATCCCTTGGTAAAAGACTTACTTTTGTAATTTTATTTTGAAAATTTGAATTTCATTGTTTTCGCGCCAGAAGCGCTCTTTTCACATTCGAGTCGTATTTCCCATTTGGGAAAATCTTAAACGCTATTGGTCCGTTGTAACACGCAATTTTGTAATGCTTCCCAAGGTCAATTTTATGTTGTATATATACGTTTGATTTCTTCCTGTTGCGATTGTTTGTACTTCTGGCTGCTTACAGAATATATCTTCCCTACTTCCAACTTGGACTTCTCACTCTAGTTAGCTGGGTCTGGGACGCCTCAGTACAGATAGCTTATTGGTCTCTCGTCACAAGTTTTTGTTCTGTTCGCTGATTCAGTGAATTCGTAACCGCTTCAGACATAACAATCGTACAAATATAAAGGTAGAAAAACTTAATATCTTGATAAAATGCTGATATTGTTTCTGGCTTAGATGTTTATCACAACTATGGAATAAACTGCCATTTAATAATTATCCAATGGAACAAGACTGTTATGATTTAATACAAAGAAGAATTCTTGTCTTTCTATGAAAATATGTTTATACACCAAACAAACTTCTATACTTTTTAAGAATAACAATGTAAAAGGGTTTATGTTCAATTATCTAAACTTATTATAGATTCCGATTGACTCAATAATACAAATGTTTTTATTGATGTTATCAATAAAATTTTGTGACTAAAGTCAAGAATGAGAGCAAATAAAGTAAAGATGAAAATTTATTTCATGAGGAAATATAACGAAAAATCATATTTCAACGGTGCACTCATTTCTATATTAAGATTTACTTTAGATGAATTCTTAGTTAAGTCTGATTAACTAAATTAATTGCCTAGAAACTGATGAACCTAATCACAATTACTGTAGTAATACCATTTATTCATAACTCCCTACTGCAACTAACAAAATAGAGTAACTTAATTGTTGATCTCATCCTAGCACTTGATCAATGATAAACGCATCAAAAAAATTTGCCACTGCCTACTAGTAAAGAAGATACGTGTAATGCATTTTAATAAAGATGATAGAGAAGATTTACAGCTCGGGTTTTTTTAATGGAGTTTTGTTCTCTGAGCTGGATAGTTTGGTCGTGCAGCTTTTACCGTTCTTCTGAACGATATCATCAATACAAACTTCAGGTAGGAGCGAGGTGTTCGAATTTCTCCACATATGGCTAACAGCTTGTCCTGCAGACCTCGATCATGATTGGTTTTTGTTGACCTTCAACCTGTCATTGTTTACTTCCTTATTTTAATAAATTTTAATACATCTTTTCAGAAAAGACAATTTATCAATTCAAAAATTAGCTACCTAGACAAGTTTATATAATTAATCCTTTCAAATAGATAACATCTACAATCCCATGAATAACTTAATACAATTTAATTAATTATTTATATGCAATGTAATACAATTAAACGATAAGTTTTAACATTTTATACTTTTTTTGTATTTAGAAAACCTTCATGAAAACCAAAACCTCCCAAACATTTTAAAAAATGCATAAAAGTTATACGGTTCTAGCAAATATTAATATAAACCAAGTAGATAACAAACATTAAGTTATATGTTAAATGGTTTCAGGTAACCAATACAAAAAAATGAACCTAAACCTTCCTATAGTCACACTGTAAATTAATCAATAGAATTTATTCAGTACTAGAGGACTAGATAAAAGCACAATATCGATTAGCATGTTTCCATGGTCAGTCAATTTTATATAAATGATATAATTATTCATCTTACCTTCTAAAACATAAACAACCGAACCAATTTCACCTTCTTGTATAATCCATGATAATCTAGCACAGCCCAAAGGACACATTGAATCAACAATTTTAGATATTTGCCTTTTATCTAAATGTTTCATAAAGTCATTGTTCAGAATAGCTTGAGTAATTAACGCCTTTGTACTAATGAATAAAAAAGAAAATAAACAGAGTTTTTTTATAATTTATAAGAAATTAGTTAAAATTAATCAAAACTAACATTCATCTGTTACCATGCAAACTAAATCTTAGTAATTTATACATTATAACTCTGGAATCCACTGAGACCAAGTATAGTGTATTATATTTATTGAACACAATTAATTCCTATAGGACAGCATGAAAATGACGAATTCATTATTTCAAAAATTACAGAAAGTGAATTGTATTATTTAGAGTAAAGCAAAAAATTTCAAATCAAAACAACCAATTATAAATTCTTATTCTTTGGACAATTTAACAAATAGACATCTGTGTATACATTTGTTAGACCATGTTAGTTATGACTATGATCAAGTAGCTTACACAAATTACAATCTCTAAAACCTAATGTTAATAAGTCCATAAGCTGGTTTCAGACCTTGATTTGTTTAATGCTACGTTTCATCCGACCTACTCCTGTACTGATTGATATGCGAACAAAATGAAAACATTATACAAAATAACAAGAATTCAGTATGTACTTGTAGATTCTTCACTTTTTAGTTATGGTTATGTGTCCTATTTAAAAAGCAACCGGAAAAAACAATACATTTTAAACTTTCTAGTCAGGCAATTCAGTATGTAAAGTTATAATACGATGTAGTCAGGCTGTCAGCTCATTATTAGCTTCCTAACGAATCACCTCGCACTTTTTCATGTAGACCTGTCGTTTAATTATTTTCATAATTCAAATCACTAGTCGATCTAAGCTAGACCACCACTGAAAACTTGGAAACACTGGATGACTATTTTGTCCTATTATGAGACTACTGGGAAGTCTACATTCACAATCCCGCACACAGGACGCAATTCTATGACCTTCGGTCTCGCGTGTGAACACTTAAACTCTAGACCACTGGACCGGCATCCAACAGTGTTAATTTCTAACTTCAATCGATCCATGATCTTGCTCAGTCCCATACTAGGACAAAACGGCAATCTGGTGCTTCCAGGTTTCTAATGCTGGTCTAGCTTAGATCGACTCATGAGTTCAACTGTGAAAATACTACAATGCCAACAAATCCCCATACTGTTTAATTATTTTCTCAAGTACAATTCGAAAGTTGAATTATCCGATATTGTTACATAGTTTAAAGTTGATTAGAAACCGTTACAACTGTCCGATAACGAAATCCTAACTGTTCACATTTAAAAAGAAAAGGTACCCTAAGTAGAAAAAATATAATATTTATATGTAATACTGAACCAAAATTATAAAACCATTATATATTATTTCGCCGCTTATAAATGCTACGGGTAAAATAGACTTTTTTACCATACTTGAATTCCAGCTACTCGGGTAACTGGGTCAAAGATTTTTTGCAGTTTTTTTCTTCGTTTAAAAGTGTTTCTACACACTTCAAAAATGAAAAATCACTGTTTTACAATTAGATTTATCCATATTAATTTCATCATAAGGTGAAACAGTGAATGAACATGTATGGTTAATTAATTAAATAACTATTCATATAAGCCGGTATTGATCTAACTTTCTTCAGCTATAATCTTAGCAGTAAAAAGGTTAACATGTCTAGAAATATTCATAATATAGTATATACATTAATAGACTATCAAAAAATTCCTAACTGAAATAGACAATCATTCAATGCTATTGAATATTTGTGAGTTTTTTTTCAGCTAATATCACAGTCCACTTATAATACGATAAATGTTCTAACTGATCTCTTAAATAGGTTTACTAAGCTCTTCTAACAACCCCAGGCTAAATCTGCCCAACAACTTGAACATAAAAGACACGAAATGCGGAAAAAACACTTTACTTTAAAGTTAGTTTTTGTACAGAAAATCAAAGGTATTTATATAACTTTAAATGACCTTGTGTAGGATAAGCTATCATCCAATCAAAACTGAGATACGTGGCTCTTCAGTTCCTAGATGTTGCCGAAAAACCTTTATTTAGTGCTAACTGTATAACATGTTTTTTCTCGCTTTCAGGGCCCTTCTAGGCTTTTTTCGAGGAATACTCTGAACCTCTACAACATAAATCTCTTCAAGTATATTCAAAACTATTAAAATGTAGATTCACTTAGTATTATTTATTTGAATCTTCCCATTGATGTGTTCGGACTGCAACTGATCAGTCTCTTATTAGCATATGTGCATACTGTTCGTATTGCCTCGATATAGTCTTCTTTCATAAGCACTATAAGCAAAGATGGATAGTGGCTAGCAGTGGAATCCAGGATGCGCGTTTCGTCCCATTAGGGACTCGTCAGCTGGATGTACCTGCATCTCAGAGTTGAAACGTTGTTTGTAATGTTACAACAGTCATCGTAACGTAATAAATTGGTTTTACAATACATTATACAGTGAATATGTTCAATATAAATGTAAACATTTTTGTGTATTATTATGAAAGGGTCAATCATAGAATAACATTGTTATCAAAACAATAATAATCACTACTGATAACTTTTATTAACATATATATATGCATATGAATTTACTGAATAACTTGAAATAAAAATAGTTTACATTTAGTCCTTAACATTGAATGAGAATTAAGTATCATAACAACAATCAGAAGGGGTTTTGTGGAGATTTAGTATTTTTCATAGTTGAAAGCGTGAGTCAATTGAAGCTAGACCACCATGGAAAACTTGGAAACACTGAACGGCCGTTTCGTCCTATTATAACAACATTTTATTTTCAGTAATATATATGTTCAACATGAAAAATTAATATGATTATGGCAACAACAACAACAAAAACGAAATGTTGTATTTTCAACCTTAGTTCATAGACAGAAATTGAGACAATTACATATACTATTCTACCGGTTATTAAATTATATTTACATAACTACAAAAATCAATTTATTTGTAAATAATTCAATAACATATTTTTTTCAGTTTATCAACAAAAAATAGAAAAAATTATGTATCCATGAGAAAATCTAATCATCTGACTCAATAACGTAAGCATTTTATAGTTGACTACCTGAGTTAAATGAAGCTTGAACACAATGGAAAACCTGGAAACACTGAACAACTGTTTCGTCATATTGTGGGATCCCTCAGTAGTGCGCATCTACCATCCCGCCCCGAGAAATTCGAACCTAGGACCTATCAGTCTCGCTCACGAGCGCCGTAGCTCTTGTACTATCAGTTTATATGTTAAGCCCATATACTTTATTCTAGCTTCTGGCCAAGCCGATTCGCCTATCCATTATGAGTCATATTTTGATCTTGTTAATTATTCGCTTATTAACCTTGACTACCTTTTTATATGAGCGAATATGTATGCACACTTCGTATCTTATTCATCATATGTCTGTCATTCTTTTTTTTCTGGCTATAAATGTTGATTGACGCTTGCTTAAAATGAGTTGGCTTACCAGTCATCTCCAATGCGTCTTACTTATGCTTCGCTCGCTAACATTTGCTCATGTGCTTATAACCTTCTAGTCTGCATCAATTATCAATAAAAATGTAGTTGCCGTTTCCCTTTGCCTCCTGATATTATGCACCGTTAAGATTGGTATAATAACGGTTATCGAGGTGAACTAATAACGAAGCACGACACTACACTCTAGACTACGGAGCCGACATCCAACAGTATTAATGTCTAACTTCAACCAATCCACAAACTGAGCAATTGTCTTCAGTGAGTTCCTATCTCACAACAGACGTAGTTTGAACTCCACTGGTCACTACTTCTCACCAGAACTCCATTTATTTAACAAAAGTCACTTTTATTTATTAAATAGAAATGATTCATTAATTCACCATGATGAATTTTCTATACTCCTGATTAGTGTGTAGTCATTTAATAATAGATATTATGAATACATTTCACCATCGTAATGTAATTGGGAAAAACCACTAATCCGTTTAAAATAATGCATTTAAACGGTACAGCATAAACTTATTTGAAATTTTGGATAGAAAGTTTCTAATAAAACCCTGTTCAATATTATTATTATGTTGTAACGATTCATTCAACTATAAATCAGTAGGTATGTTTATTAATAGCTTGTAAAATCATTATGTTAAACTATATCAATGGTATATTATTAACAATAAAGTAAATAATAATGTAGGTGCTGGGTTCTAATCTCGCTAGGCGGGATGGTGGATGCGCACTGCTGAGGAGTCTCAAAGTATGACGAAACAGCCGTTCAGTGTTTCCAGGTTTTCCATGGTGTTCAAGCTTCAAATGATTCATGATCTCAACTACATAAAATTACCAAAATCTTTGCAAAACCCACTTCTAATAGTGTGATTTTAAATTAATCATGACCAATGTATATACATTACGGTGAAAAGAAAATGATGTATAGTATCTGGAAGCTACTAAGTTGAATGCTGCTGCAAAATGGTATTATAACATTGTAAAATTATCAGTTTATCAAGAACAATTACTACCTACAAGATCAAGTTAAATATATATGTTTATAATGGTAGATACTACGTGAAAATGTTTTTTTTCAACTGGTAGTTTCTAGCCTTATAATACCGCTTCAGATTGGAGATGTCTGTTATTACTTTATGAAAATCTAAAGTTTGATTTAAATGACTCCAATTTATATTGGTATCCATTAGTAAATTTTGTATCCGTTACAATAATATACTTAATCTTTGTTTAGTCACTAATCTGTCGAAGTGAAAAGAAATTAAATTTGTAAAATTAATGATATTTATGTCACATTCCATCACGATATTAATGATATTTTGTTAGTTATTTCCATAGTGAATTTAAACTTCAACCCATTGTACAAGCAAGTGGCTGTCAGGACTCAGTAGCTAAGTGGATAACGCGATCACGTTTGAAGTAAAAGGTACTTGGTTCGACTCACTAAGTGAACATCAACTCTGAGATGCAGGTACATCCATCTGACGAGTCCCAAATAGGACGAAACGCGAATCGTGTATGCGCACTACTGAGGAGACCCATACTAAAACGAAATGGCCGTATAGTGT